GGAAAGAGGAAGGACAATGCGAGAGACAGAGAGAGAGAGAGAAAGCAGGGGGAAAAGGAGAAGCTGCGAAAGGAAGAGAAGGAGAGGATAGAGAGAGAGAGCGAGTAAGAGAAGATCGAGAGGGAAGAGCGAGACGGAGAGTCCTAGAACTCGAAAACCAGTCTACACACGTCGCGACGCGCGAGAGGTCTGACCGCTCTTGACCCTCGTGCCAGGGTGCTGGAATTTATCGTTCGAAGGACTCACCTCGCCACTGATGCACACGCTGCTGCTGCCCGTTCGATCCAACGTCGAGGCGTCTTCGATCCGAGCGGCTCCGATCGCCTTGGATTCCCCTTGGTTCGTAGTCCGAAATATCCAAGCGAAGAGAGGGTGTCGCTGGGCTTTCGGGCTGCCCGGATACTCGGCGTTTCAGCCGAACCACGACACCGGAGGAACGAGTTTTCACTTTTATTATACGCGGCAGTCCCGCACGCGTCTCCTCTTTCTTCGCCGCGTTACGTATCACAGTTCCTTCGCGACGCCAGCAACAGGACGCGAGCAAGAGAGCGCGAGCCGCAGAGAGAACCGGAGGAACCGGAGTAACGACGGCGACGACGGCGACGAAGGACGGCGAGGAAAGAAACGGCGACCTTACCCGACCAAGGGTAAGGAAATAAGAAACACTGGAGGAACACAAGCCGATCACCGATCACGTCCAGGAAGAACCGGCCGCAGGGAAGACGAGGAGGAATACGGGGGTAGAGAAAGAGAGGGAGGACGGGTTCCGCGAGATCGACGATCCTCTCTCGCGGCGTGCCGAGGATCTCTCCGTATTATTCCACTGAACGATCCACGAACGGTTTATCCAGGAGCTGGTCTGTCGGTCGCGCGACGTATCTCTCCCGCTCAGTCCTTCTCGATGAACGAAATCGGAGCTCGGAACACGGTATCCATGGAGTATCGGTGTCGAGAGTCGCCGCGAGCCTGTACGGATCCACGATCAGGAGCGTCCAGCGAGCAGTTCATCCGAGCGTACGAGCGTAGTTGTCGCGGTAGAGAGGACGACAGGTGCAGCAGCTGCAGCTGGCACGGTCGTCGGCTTCATACTGAAGGGGCGCCTCGACGCCGCCGGCTCGCCGATGCTACGAGAAACTGGCTCTGCCACTGGCGACGGCACCGAAAACTCGCAGCCAGCGCAGACTCTACGCTCGCTCTACGCTTGCTCTCCGCCGCTGTCCTCCGGCTTCTTCCCCCCTCCCACTCGACGCGCCGGCCCGCTGGTGGGGGTCGACTCCGCGCCCCACTCCAGGGCCTTCTCCACCTTCTCTTCGCCCGACCGACCGCTCCGGCTACCCCTCCTGTGCCCCCTCTCGCTCTGTCTCCATTCACCGCGCGTGTTCCGAGTCGTCGCGAGTCGCGAGTTCTCTGTCGCTCACGGACACACGGGGATCGCTGATATTCCAGCACTTCGTAGCCGGTCCTCGATGGATGCTGGGCGAGTTCCACGCGTTCCGGTAGGTCGGTGCCGCCGGAGAACCGGACCGACAGCAAAAACGATTGCGTTTCGAGACGAGGGAGAACGCTCCGGGCTCCCGCTCCCGGCACGGGCTTACAGCCTGGAAAAATCTTTCGCACCGAGTCCCGACCAGTGTCGATGGACCCTCCGCGAGCCACCATTTTTTCCAACGCTCGCTTTCGGCCTCCGCGCTTATCGCCGTTGGATCACGTGTTTTGGGTTACCAGGGGGCAGATAAATCTAATATTTTCTCGTTTCCTTTCCTCTTCTTCTTTTTCAGTGGGGAGGATATAATTGCTCGATTATTCGGATAAGGGCCTTCGCGTTCGGCTCGTAATTAGATGGGAAGCTTCCGAGTTTTATCTGAACCAGAAGAGCCTTCCCGGAGATAAAACGTACCGTCTAGCCCTTCAGCGCTATAACGGTGACTAAGCGTAGTTATTCGACGTCTGACTCTCGTGTGGTACTAACGGTGACTATAGTCGACTAACGTCCCATGCTCTTCCTCTTAACTCGAATTTAATCGGAACCGACATATGCGGCAGAGACTATACAGATACCACCGATGTGTACCTATAATGATCCTCGTCCCGTCTTTCAGATTCCATCCCGTAATCCTCGTTTCCGTAGGGAACCCGTAAACGCGTCTCGAAACCGTCTCCCACCCATCGAGATGGAAAGTGGAATATAAAAAGCACGCCGACAGCTGTACTCGGAGCGAACGGCCCGTTAGACCCGCTAAACCGACGATATTCCCCGAGTGCGGAGCTTTGGTCGCGCGGGTGGTATTTGCCCGAAGTCGAGGGGTCTCGACGAGGGACGAAGGACCCTCGTAACGTTTACGGCTGACGATCGTCGTGGAATCAAAGCTGTCCCCCGAAATTCGAGTCGTAGCAGCACCTCGGAAATCTGGCCCCTCTCGACCGCGTTCTCCTTCGCCGCGTGTACATGCGCCGCGCACGCATGCGTATACCGGAGGTTGGTCGGGGAGGCTGAGTGGGGGGAGACTGGGGGACGCGGTCCCTGCAACCGCGACGCGAAAATACGGCGATTGCGAAAGAACCGAGACATTTCTGCCGGTCTATAAATTCGTAGCTAGCGTCGCGGGAATAATAATGTCACTGATAAAATACCAAAGACCAGAGCCCGGAGTAACCGTACTTCATTGGGAGGCATTAGCGTCTGGTCGAGGTATTCGCCGCGGGGTAAGGCAGCTCGGACGAACAGGACGAACGGGAGTGACGAGGAGAGTGGGTGGGGCAGACGAGGCAGAAAAAGAGGTTGAGTCGGGGAAAGAAGAAAGGAGAGAGAAAGGAGGGAAAGGTGGAAGGCGAGAGAGGAGATGCACTGGAAGAAAACGATGGCAGCATGGTCGCAGGAATTTATAACTTTCGCACTCTCGCCGATACTCGGCTCTCGGTCGCGGCTTATCGGCCAGGTTGCACTTGTTTTGCGCCGACTATCGGCGTAAAGATCGGCAACGTCTCCCGTCGCCGGCAATTTCACGAGTCGTCGAATATTCGCCGGCTAGCCGGTCGGCCAGTCGCCGCGTCTAACTCGGGGGCGCGGGGGGCCGGGGCCCGGACGCCGAACGACTTTCCTTCAAATCGCCGGGACGTTTTACGTGCCGTCGGCTGACATTTACAGTGAAATCTGCCGGCGTAGCCGGTCGCCTACCATTTGCCTCAATGACATCTCGGGGATCTACGGTTCTGCCCGTCGCCAGAACCTGTTTCGCCCGTGTTCCTGCTTTGGCCCGCTACGAATCCGCCACCGACCTCGCTGTCCGTCCGCGAATCGCCGTTCCGCCGCCTATTCCCGAGCAGTCGGTCCACGTAGCCACGGAGAAGCTTGTTCGCCTGCCTCCTGCCTCTCGCGATTTAATCGACCCTGTCGTGTTTTCAACGGTTACGTTTCGTGGCACTTCTCGGCTCGATAGCGACGCTGGGACATTCTTCTGGACACCACACGGCAGCGTTATCTAGCGCCCACTATCGCGATGAAAGTCGCCGACCACGGTTACGGTTTTAACGAATTTTCGATTCTACCACTCTTTCGCCTTCTTTTTCTTCTTTCTTTTCCTCCATCGATACGTACAACGCGGATACCGTCGGATCTAAATAGAGGATAAATACTCGTCCGCGAGTAACAGATAATATATTTCCAACGCACTCTTTCGTTCCCTGTCCCGAGGCACGCCGATCACGCCACGCGCCAGCGTTGCCGGAAAAACAAAGCACCATCGCATCAACCTCCCCTCCATCTCACGCGCTGTTTCTCTTTCCTACCCGCGTGCACGCTCGCGCTCTGTCTCTCCCTCGCGCATGCAGACACTCGCGCTCTATCTAACACCCTGCGATATCGACTCCCGACTTTTGTCCGCCGTTGCCACGAGTCTTTCGAGATCGCGAAGATCCGTTTGGCGTTCGGTGGAGAATTTTAATCGACCAATCGGACGGTGGGTGTGGAAGAAGTCCCGGGTCCTTTGTCCCGTGCCTCTCGCAGCCTCCTTCTCGCTGCTCCGCCGAGCTCGTGTTGCGAGTTGGAACGTTCTGCGCGGTATTTTTTGCCGTTGGACTGCTACGCGAGCGTGACTCAATGCGTTGCGTTGCGCCACTAAAACAGAAGCTGCGCGCGCGTCGTGCATTTTAATTCGACGAGATTAATACGCGAACTGGCCGACTTCCTGCTTATAGACGGGTCGCGATGCGCTGCAAGCCGGAAACCACGCTGACGGTAATTGCAGGGGTAAAACGAGTAGGATACAATTTCGCGGTATCACTGTCGATCGACTTAGCACGCGTTCGTATCACTGCGATCTTCTGTTACGCGTGTCGAACGGACTTACAAAGGTTTAAAAGGATCAAGGTATCTATCTTCTCTAAAGCCACCGACCGACTCGCGAGAGTATCAAGAGGGTACGTGACGCAGTTCGTCTAAACCCCCAATTCTTATCTAATGTTTATAGAAACATTCGTTCTCGGGATCTAGTTTATAAGGAGTCTTATAAACTATTTATTCGCTGCTTATAACCTAGATTAATTTTTGTATACAACTAAACTTATCTTCTCAACGATATAGGCTCTTAGATCTTTTAATTTTCCGATCTTTCGTTCCTCGAATCGATATTTATCACCTCGATGCCAGTGCTTATCCTTTGAATATTGTAAGATATGAGACACGCTTGCATCTTACTTTTTCTGACACCAGAGGGCGAGCGAGCCATGCGTAGTTTGTACGCATTACTGTCCTCCATAGTTGCTTCGTTTTTTGCCAAGATGTGCAATAAATTGCGTTCTATGTTATGCAGAGGAGAGCTGCGTGTAAAATATCAAAGGTTATAAGAAAAATTATACAAGAAAAGTAGTAAATAAATGACACCGGCCTATTACATCATTCAGCCTAACTTCTAGGAACCATTTTTCTAGCTTATCAATTTTCCTCGAAGTCAAATAGATCCCGATGCAGGGTGACGCCATCGAAAATAAAGATTCCTTTCACAGTATACATACGTGCCATCCCTGAAGAGGTTAAAGATCAACGTGTATTTATTTTATAAAATATTCTTTGATCCTCAGCTTTGATCTTTTGACCTTTGAGTCTCGGTTCTCCAAATCTTTGGTCTCTCCTACTTTAACCCAATTTAGACCTCTTCTCTATTTTACACGTTTGGACTTTTGACTCTCTCGTGTCTTCGACCTTTCGGCCCCGAACCCTTTGAATCCGGGACCCTCGTAGCGAGACGTTCGAACGATATTTTTGAACTCGGGATCGTTTAAATCACCGTCATAGACCCTTTGCGCACCAAAATTCGCGGTACA